TACAGGGAGCGCTGCAAAGGCCGGATACAGAGGCAGCTGGAGATCAGTAAGCTGAGGGGGTGGGGTTAGAGCTGAGGGGTGGGGCCAAGACTGAGGTGCAGAGCAAGGCTGCTGCTGAACTCCCTGGGTTGGGCTGCACTCATTGGGACCCCTGCTTGCAGCTGGCCGGACCACAACCAGTGAGGAACTAGAGGACATGCTGGAGAGTGGGAATCCGGCCATCTTTGCCTCTGGGGTAAGTGTGGACCCCACCCTTCCCACAGGGACTCTTCCTTACCAGGACCCCGCCCACCAGGACCCTGGGGTGCTTGATATGGGCAGTCTTTGGACATAGCCACTTTGTGAGACAGTTTTTAGAGAAGGACAAGCCCCAGAGAGGGGCGGGGACAGGTCGAGGTCATATAAATGTTAGTGGCAAAGGCCTGGTTCCTCTCAGTTGGATCGACTTCCTTGCAGCCCATTTCCCCACCAGCTTGGGCCTCCTTCCACATCCTCAGGACCTTTTCCCCTCTCGGTGGACATGGTGCCATAGCCATCTCCAAGTTCAGGTGAAGCTCGGTTCTCTGCGGAGCAGAGGACTTCCTGAAGGAATTAGTTACAAGTGAGGAGTTTCGGAGTGTGGGTTTTAGGAGAAAGTGGGGACAGCTACATTCAGTGCAGGAGGAAGAACAGGAGGAGAGGGGACAGGAGAAAGGCAGTTTAAGGTCTGGGTCCATGAGGCAGTCATCTTGGGCTCTATACAACACTGGTGATAAGAACTATCACTTAGCAGTTACTATGCACAAGCACAGGTAGGGAGTGTTAATAGCCCCGTAGTACATGTAGAAAATAGGGTCTCAGAGAAGTTAGGTAACAGCTAGGAAGAGCTGAGCAGAAAGTGGGGAGAGGGCCGCAGTTAAGAAGCCTCAGACCCTCCTTCCAGAACATTCTGCACAGGCCACTGCTCATCCTAGCTACCTTTGTAGTTGGCTTCCTGCTGTCCTGGTCCCCATTCTCACCCCCTTCCGCAAGTGCCTGGGTCCCAGCCCACTGCTCCCATCCCTAGATCATCATGGACTCCAGCATCTCGAAGCAGGCCCTGAGTGAGATTGAGACACGGCACAGTGAGATCATTAAATTGGAGAACAGTATCCGTGAGCTGCACGACATGTTCATGGACATGGCCATGCTTGTGGAGAGCCAGGTGAGGGCCTGGGGCCCCACTGCCCTGCCCCCCAGCCCATGGCAGCACCCAGGTCTGCCCTAACCCCCACCCTTTCTGCCCAACACGCTGCCCTGCCTGGGAGGGACCGAGTCTTCAGGTAACTAGCCACCTGCTATTGAAATTGCCTACAGGGCCTCACTCACCTAAAGGCCCCTCTCTGCATGGTTCAGCCACCAGGCCCCAGTCACTGCATGGCTCTGCTTGGCCCTCCAGGATCCCAGGCCCTGCATGGCCCTACCCACCTTCCCCTGTCTTATCCACCCTCTGTTTGTCATGTAGGCACTGTGTATGGGCATTTTTCTAGGAGCTGGAGATAGAGCAGTGACCAGGACAGCTGAGGGCCTGCTTCCTGGAGCTAATGTTTGTTGGGTGAAGGGCAGCGTAAGTAAATGGCAACTGGAATATTCTCCAGTTGTGCCAAGTGCTCAGGAGATGTTAGAAGGCAGCATGGTGATAGCGCAGTGGTTCTCAAACTTTTAAAGTGCCCAAGAAACACTTGGAGGGCTTGTTTCCTTGTTTGTTTCAATCCCCATTCCCAGAGATTAGTAGGTTGGGGTAAGAGCCTGTGAATTTGCATTTCTAACATGTGCAAGGGTGATGCTGATGCTACTAGTCCAAGGGTCACACTTGGAATACCATTTTGATATGGAAGCCACTTTGGATGGGGTGCCTAGAGAAGGCCTCTCTGAGGAGGTGGTGTTTGAGCTCTGGAGACATCCCAGAGGAAGAATGAAGAGCTGGCCCAGGCAGAGGGACCAGCAACCATGGTCCTGCCATATTTGAGGAGCAAAAGGAGGTCCATGCAGCTGGAGCACAGGGGCAGCTGGAGATGAGCTAGACAGGGGGGCCTTGGCAGGTGAAGTCTCTTCTAGATTGGCAGGTCGTAAGTATGGGAGTGTGACCTGAGTCAGGAAGCAGGGAGGTCATGAGGATGCTGTTGCTGCCATCCCAGTGAGAGATTATGGTAACATGGATGCCTGTGGAAGCGATGACCTTGGAGAGAGAGCTCTCAGTTGTCAGCATGCTGTTGCTGGGAATTTTGGGCAGCGTCATGGTCGGAGTGGCCTCTGCCTACTGCATGGGACCAGATTGCAGTGCCCAAGAGGACTATGGGGCTGAGTGGGGGCGGGGACCAAATACAGAGCTGGACAAAACCGTCAGGCCCAGGGATGGAATGGGGGGCTCACTGGTCAGCTTGTGATCTGTGGCCACAGTCAGGCCCACCTGCACCAGGCACTAGGTTAGGGCCCCAGCTGAGTGTTCTCTGCATGGTCCCCATGCCCTTGGCTGAGACTGCATGGCCAGTTCCCTCCCCAGGATGGCTGCTCTGCAGGGAGAGGCCGGAGCTACCAGGGGTGTCTGGCCTGCGGGACACAGGTGAGAAGCTGTACCCCATCCTCCTCACACTCCTTTTCTCTCTCTAATCTCAGGGCACTTTCCTAAAGTCTTGCCTCAAGCCCCCTTCTGACCCTGAGGGCGGCTCTCTGGAGCTTGGGTGCCCCTGGCCCTGCAGGGGGAGATGATTGACAGGATTGAGTACAACGTGGAGCAGTCGGTGGACTACGTGGAGAGGGCCGTGTCTGACACCAAAAAGGCTGTCAAGTACCAGAGCAAGGCGCGCCGGGTCAGTAGCCCCAACTCTACCCAACATTTCCCGCACACCCATTAGTGATCACAGATCCCTCCTCACTCTGCCTGTCCCACCTCTCAGCTCTTACTGTAACCTCACCCACCTCTCCCAGGTTTCAGTGCCTCACTTTAACCATCCTCGGGCCCATTCCAGGTCATCACCTTCCCCCCATATCACCCCCCCGACTCTCCAACCCTCCGTCCTCGCTCCCAATAGCCCCAAGCCCCTAAAAGCTCTGCCCACCTCCAGCCTCTCCCATGCTCTGAGGCCTTTCCTTCCTGCTTCTCTGGTGCAGAAGAAGATCATGATCATCATCTGCTGTGTGGTCCTGGGCATTGTCATTGCCTCTATCTTTGGAGGTATCTTTGGATAGAAACTACCCCACCTGCCTCTCCACTCTGGATGGCCCACACTAAGGAAGCTCCTTGGCTGCTGACTCCCTTTGGCTCGGAGCCCCCTCCATACCCACCCTGCCCTGAGCCGTCATGTGCATGATCTTTGTAACAGTGTGTGTCTGTACAAAAGAGGCAGAGGGGAGCCAGGCTAGGAATCAACCAGCGGGTGGGGATCAGGTCAGCAAGGGACAGACTCAGGCCCTGGCCCGGCTGCTTCACCCTTCCCAGGCAGAGCTGCCCAGGTAGCCATGTTTCCCCTTCCTCTGCCTTCAGTAATTCCACTCTTGCCCTGGGGTCTGCCCTCTCCATGCATCAAGGCTCTCTGTACCCCAACCTTGCCTCCTGCTGACCCCACCATCTATCCTGTCCTCTCCAGCTGTCCCCCCTAAGCCCAGCCCCCTGAGGGGTGGGGATCAGCTGGCCACATGGTGCTGCTTTTCAGGTTAGGGGAGGAATGGCCCTGAGAGACAGCCCAGCTCTAAGCCTCTAACAGCCAGTCACTGCCAGGGAGGCTCAGGGTGCTGTGGCCAGGTAGCTTCTGGCTGTGTCAAGGCCAGACTCTCTCCCCTATCTAGGGGCAGAGTCCAACAGGTCTTCGGCTGCCTCAACCTCCCCACATTCCTAGAGCCCCAGGAGCAACCCCCCCAGGCTATGCCTGACCCCAGATAACATTCTGGAAGAGGCTGGCTGGTGCCTGGTCTCTAGCCACCCTTAGAGCCAGGGAGACAGAGCAGACCTGTCAGGCCAAGCCCACCGCCTGGGCCAGCCATTCTCCCCAGCAGGCCTTAGCCGGGTCCTCAAGCCATTGTGTGTTGCATGTTTGGGACAGTAGTACCCGCTCTCGTGCTCTGGGAAGTCAGATGTTACTTCAGGCCTGCAGTCATGTCCTGCCCTTGCTGTTCCCCACTGATGTGCCACATGAGTGTCAGGTGTCTTGGATGCAGTATTCAGCAGCCAGCCAGGGAGGGGTACCTCCCCACCATCTCGGGGCTTCTCAAGTCAGAAACATGCCCTCACTTCAAGACCCCTCTTCCTTGTTGACAGGCAAGGAGTGTGCATGCGAGTGCATGCAACAGGGGATGGGGCCGTGTCTGAGCCCCGCCTTTCCTCAGCTTTGCTCCTGTCCAGTGACTGTGACCACTGTCCGCGTGTTGCCTTCTTTACCGACTTCCCTCCCCTCCTTTACCCCTTCACCAAAGGTCTTGGTACAACCAGCTGCCTGTTTTGTGAAATTTTTATGTAGAATAAACATTTGTATCTGTCCCGTGCCTCTGCTCTAGATTTCTTACTATGACAGTGTCATGGCCTTAGGACTTAAAGGTGAATGTGTGTGACAATATGGGGAAGGGGCTCGAGGCGAATGATCCCAGCCTCCTCCCTCAGGCCAATAGGTACTTTGGATACATTTCATCCTGTCCATCCTTCCCAAGTTTGCCTAAATTAAAGAAATCTACCTATTCCTGTAAGTGTATAAAAGCACTCTTAAGTTCTAATTTGGACCTGTGGAATCGAGTGGTAGCTACCACCAACAGAGGAACTTAAATTTGTTTAGGACCATAGAGCTGGAAAATGCCAGAGTTCCATAGAAAGTGGTTTATTACTTTTACAACAAAATAAGATGCCGTTAGAACTTTAATGAAGAAAATAGTATTAGATTTTTTTGCTGTTGTTAATCCTCACCTGAGGATTTTTCCATTGCTTCTTCAGAGAGAATGGGAGGGAGGGAGAAACATCGATGTGAGAGAGACACATCAATTGGCTGCCTCCTGCACACACCCCAACCAGGGGCGGGGAGCCAACCCATGACCTTTTGGTGTGCAGGCCGCTCTAACCACTGAGCCATGTTGGTCAGGGCTATTAGAACTTTTCTAGACACTCTTTTGTCAGCTGATGGAGTAGATACTTCAATATATAAAACCTTCCAGAGGCAGTGCCTGAGCTGGATGGCACAGCTCACAACTGTGTGGACCCCGAGCTGTCCCACCATTCAGTGCAGCTAACAGCTCAGAAGTAGGGCTTGCGCTTGCGGCCGGTGTACTGAGTGTCAGGTCTGACTTCCCTGTGAAGAAATAACGGGCAGGAAGAATAGAAGAGTTTCAGAAGAAAGAACAAAGTACTACTGGGACCCCTTCAAGTGTAGGTGAGCCTTTACCGGTCAAGACCTCCCTTTATCCGCAGCAGCCTACCCCTGGCCCAGGTACTCACTTGCCCTGGCGTCTACGGCGCTCTTTCTTCTCCAGCACCCACTCTCGGGTCTTCATCTTCCTCACCACCCCACTCCGTGCAATCCTGTGTGGGACCCTGTGCCGGAGACACGGCTGTGAAATGATGGATGGAACAGCCTGACTGGCACCCAAGTTAATCCAGGCAGGAAAAAATGGTGAACTTCCTTTGAGTTAGGGGCCTTAGATGCCCATCCTATATAATAAAAGCCTAATATGCAAATTGACTGAACAGCAGAACAACCAGTCGGTGTGGGGCAGGGCTGGTGGGTGGACGGCACCAGGCCAGCCAAGGCAGGTGCTAGCAGGCAGAGGGAAGAGACGGCAATGGGGGGGGGGGGGGCGGGGGGGGGGGGGGGGGGGGGGGGGGGGGTGCTGGCCACTCACCTGGCCGGTACCGTTCCCCTGACTGCCCTGCCAATCGCCTCCCGCAGAGGGAGGCCAGACTGAGGGTTAGACCCGCTCCCCGTGGGATCGGGCCTAAGCCGTCAGTCGGACATCCCCCAAGAAGTCCCAGTCTGCAAGAGGGCGCAGGCCAGGTTGAGGGACCCCCCTGAGTGCACGAACTTTTGTGCACCTGGCTTCTAGTTCTACAATAGAAGTTGCATCTTTGAACCACCCCCCTCCACCACCACCTCCATCCTGGTACCATCCACTGGGGTCAAAAGCAACTTATATAGGAGGGCAGAAGGTGCAAGGCCCCACTCACTAGCAGGCATATTTGCAGTAGGTGACCAATTACTGGGTCTGCACACATCCTGCTTAGGGAGCAGGCAGGCAGGGGCAAGGCTACTTTTTGGGCAACCTGGGCCAGGATTGGTTCACAAGAGCCTAGCAATATCCACAGAAAGTCAGAGGCCCAATGTCCACTGCTGCCACTTAAGGCCCTAGTCTGGTGGTGAGGTCAGCATACCCCATCAGATAGGGGCTCCCAGCAATAAATGTCTGAAGTAGGAAAACAAGGCTGCCCAGCTCGTGACAGCCCTGACAATAACCCTCAAGGTTTGATCTTGGCCTCCAGCCCTGGCTGAGGAGAAAAGAAACCCCCTGCAGCCCCAGGGAAAAGAGGCCTTGAGAACAGGGAAAAAGCCTGGGCTCCCTAACCACTTCCCCCACCTGGCAGTTGGGATTACACTGTTTCCAGCATAACCCAAACCAAGCAAGGATGCTTGCCATTTAAGTGACCACCATTTCCTGGTAGGGTGGAGGCCAGATAGCAAGAATTAAGGAATGCACGAGTGGAACAATATTGATGCAAAAGAAATGTATAAATTAGGTAAAGTTTTTTTGTTTTGTTAATCCTCACCCAAGGATATTCTTTCCATTGATTTTTTAGAGAGTGGAAGGGGGTGGGGTTGCAGGGGGTATGGGGAAAAGAAACATTGATGTGAGAGAGCCACACACATTGGCAGCCTCCCACATGCACCCAACCTGGGCTGGGGATCGAGCCTGCAACCAAGGTACATGCCCTTAACTGGGAATAGAACCTGCGACCCTTTGGTGAGCAGGTCGATGCTCTGACCACTGAGCAACACCAGCTAGGGCTAAGTAAAGATTTTAAAAACTTTTAAACTCACCTATTTATAAGTGGCCAGAATGTGATTAGAGAGAAGTGATAGTAATGGGAGAATCTCAATAATACTTCTAATAGGCAATCTGGGGACTTTGAAGGGAAGAGTGAGAGCCTGCAGAACTAGGGGAGACAAGGTCTGTGCCAGGCACTGTGCTGAGTCCTGAACAAACATGCTCTCTACACAACACACTGCCCAAGAGGGTGGCAATATCCCCCCTTTTTAAATAGAAAAATGGACGCTCAGGCCACAAAACTTACCCAAGTTTACAGTTAGGACATATAGTCTATAAACACCGGTGTGAGGACAAGAGGGATCCTAAGATGGATGGAGGGAGTTAACAGCTTGTACTTCCTCTGTGAAGCAGGAAATGGGATCACTCACTGGGGGCAAGTGGTGGGTGCCCTAGAGCAGAAAACATCTAGAAGAGCTAAGTCCCCATGGGGAATGGGCTGAGAAAGGAAGCTAAGAGAGATGACTAGCGATCAGACAGCATAAATCTGTGGTGGACACAGAGTACAATCATGATTTTCACTGCCGGTGGGCCTTCTAAACTCATTCAATTCTCTGCCCATTTTTCCTCTTAAATGTCTTCAAAGTCTTAACACCTTCCACCCATATCAACCAGAACTAAGAAATAACTCCTTCACTATCTTGTAATTATGTGTTCAACAAATACTGAACATCTTTAATTAACAAGATACTCTTCTGATGGCAGGCACATAATACCAGTCTCCACCAAGTTTTCATTCTAGTTGGGGATACAAATAGCCAAGATTTAGAGCAGTTAAAGGTGTTAAGGAAAATAAAGGTAAGGGGAACTGAACTAAAGATAAGGAAAAGGAAAATGGCAAGATTTTTTTTAACAAAGAAAAAGGAAAGAATCAGTCTTGCTGCTGCGCAGAAAGTAAATGGAAAGAAACAAATACTAAAAGCAGAGACACATGGAGCTGCTTTCAGTAATCCAGGCAAGACTGGTGGTGACCTAAGACCAGGTGGGAGTGGGGAAAGGGTTGGAATTGGGATATACATTGAGAAGAAGGGTGCAGGACTTGCAGATGGACGATTGGCTATGAGAGGTAAGGAAGGTAAGAATAAGTGAGAATGGTAAAGAATGGACAAAGGAAGTCTGGGGGTGAAAACCCAGAGCTGTTTTGTTTGAGACATCTGTGGGAAGTTCAGGTATGGACAGGGTGGGAAGTTTAGGTATGGATACTTAGAAGGCGGGTTGGCAATCAGAGGTGGAATTGAGGCCAAGGATATAAATCTGGGAGTTATAAGCCTGTAGTTGGTGTTTAAGGCTGTGCAGAGAGAGAAGGGGTCCAGGTTGGGCCCCAGAGTGCTCTAGAACAGCGGTCGCCAACCTTTCGGACCTCACGGACCACCGTGGACCACTGGTTGGCGAATGCTGCTCTAGCAGAGTAGACTGAGACGGAACAACCAGTAAGGTTAAGAGAAAACCATGATAGTGAGTGGGAGGCCAAGTAAGGAAAGTGTTAAGACAGTGATGGGCTGAGTCAGGTCCTATTGAGCAGGCAAGTTAAGATAGGATAAAGGCCTGGCCAGTGTTCTCAGTGGTTAGTGTCAGCCCACACACCAAAGTGTTAAGGGTTCAATTTCCAGTCAAGGGCACATACCTGGGATGCATGTTCTATCCCCAGCTCTGGGCAGGGCTTATGTGGGAGAGGCAACCAATCAATGTGACTCACATCAATGTTTCTGTTTCCCTCTCTCTCTCTTTCTCTCCCCCCTCTGCCCCCCGCCCCCTCCACTCTCTCTAAAAATCAATGGAAAATATCCTTGGGTTGAGGATTAATGAAAAAAATATATATAAGGATAAAGTAGGGGAAAAAACAGAAGTGACCATACATTTGGCAAGACAGGTTGGTGGTGGCCTTGACAAGAGCAATTTGTGATGAGACAGAAGCATAAGCCAGAGAAGAGGACTGAGAGAATGATAGGGGAGAAAGCAAGAGGAGGCAGATATGAGGAGTTTTGTGATATAAAGGGAAGCAAATAAACAGGGTGGTAGCTTGGAGTTGTTAAGAAGTAAAGGGATAATCTCTTAGAAGACATGAGAAATTGTGTAGCATGTTTGTGAGCTGATGCAAATAGCCCAGGAGAGTAAAGATGAGGATGAAGAGAAAGGATAGTCACAGGGGCCAAGAGGGGATGAGGTCCAGGACAGAGGTGGCGGAGGCAGCCTAGGGAAGGAGGGGACAGTCTGTCAGGCATGGCAAGAGGAAAGGCAGAGAGTAAGGCTTCAAGGCTGCTTACAGACATCCCAGCCTTAGACAGTAGCAGGCACTGGTTCCTGGTTCTATTACCACCTTGGTGTCACTGCCACATCTGAGCCCGGAACTTGGTGAAAGCAGAGAAAAATGGAGTGGTCTTGCCACCTCCAGCTTCCTCTGCCATGTCTAAGAAACCTAGCGGCAGTAACTCCCTGAACCTTGGGCAGGTTCACCTACGGTTCGCTTTACCTCTTGTTCGTGAATGTGGATTCCTTTGCCTCCTCTTCTTCCTTAATTTCATTTAGGCCCTGTAGGAACCAAAGTGCTTTTAGAGATTCTGGAGATCTCTAAACCCATCTGCCCTACCCCGAAAGGCCTGGGCTCCCACCAAGTCTAAGCCCTTTCCACAGGTACTAGGCCCAGCCTCACAAGAAGGGAACCCAAAAGACACACACCTGAAAACTCAGGGTCCCTCACCTTTGGCAGAAAGGTTGATGGCCCAGAAAACAAACAGAGGTAGAACCTAAAACAAGAAAAGTTCAAGGACTCATAAAGCCTTGCAGTGTAAGTCAAGTCCTCACCTTCCCTTCCAGCAGTGCCTCCTGCACGACGACTCTGGTCCACACCACCACCCTCTATCCAGCAGTGCCAGCAGCACGCTGGCCCGCAGCACTCACTTCTTCGCTTTGGCACTGTTGGGGTAGTCCACCACCACACCGCCAGTGAAACCAGCCCTGATGGCCTGGGTCGTGATTAGCTCCAACTGAGGAGAGAACATTGGTGAATCAGAGAGAAGCTGGGGGAGCACACTGCTTTCCCTCACTCCTCTTAAGCCAGTCTGGTTCCAGGATGGACGGTGCCTGGGAGAACTAAAGGTCTTCTTTATTAGACTGTTCCCAATTCGGAGTCCCCAAAAGCCACACAGAGGAAAGTGCAGGCTAGAGCCAGCCATGGCATACAGCCCCCTCAAGGGAATTACAGAACAAGCAATTCTCACTTTGTAGCCCAGGGAACCATCTACCCACTCAAATCTCAGGAAATGAATGGCCAATACTGGGGGCAGACTCATTCATGGTATTAGTCAGGGACAGCTCACACCTAGTCTTTCAAGGCCGGTAACTCCAACCTCCTCATTCCTTCCTCCTCCATCTTGCATTACACTCCTTAGAACAGACAACTGCTGATGTTCTCTCAGTCCCCTATTTATATATTTGTTATGGAAATCAGTTAATATATCACATTAACCCTACTCCACACCCACCACTCCTCCTTGGGATATCAGATCATAAAATATGTCATCAGGAGCCACAGGAACCACTCTCAGATATTCATTCTCTCCTTTTCCCACCAACCAGCATAAGGATCCTATTCTGTCACTTCCCAATAGTAGGAGGGCAGGTGAGTGAGGAGCAGGATACGAACAGTTTACCTGTTCTGGACCCCTCCCACCTCCCTGCACCTCTAGTAGCCAAGAGGCTCACCTGCTCTGAGTTCTCAGGGTATAGCTGCAGAACAGCTCGGGCTCCACGGACCTGCAAGAAACAGAAACATTCACTGTCTTACAAGCATCCCATGGGGTCAGGACCCAGGCACTCCTCCCTTCCTTATTCACTGACATCTGAGTTCCCATTATGCGCAAGGCACTGTTCTTAGGGCTGAGGTTACAGCTATGAACAAAAGAGAGAGCCTCTCCTCTGAAATTTTGGAGCTCACTTTTTAGCAGAGGAAGCAAGCTAATTTACAGTAGTGATTAAGAGCCAAAAAGAAAAATAACTTAGGAGGACAAAGGGATTGTGAGTGACAAGAGACTAATGAGTTTACTTTTGGTTCAAGGAAGGCCTCTCTTAGAGGGACACTTGAGCAGAGACCTGAATATATGGGGGAGCTGGTCATTCAAACACATGAGGGAAGAGCATCTCAGCAGAGAGGCAAACACCACCTTGCTCCCCATCTGAGCATCAGCAGAGGGAGGAGCAAGGGGTGGGAGTTGAAGGTGTGGCACTCTGGAAGATATGCCTTGTGTGTCCTGGACACGATGTCCCTGTCCTCCTTCTGTGAAGTCTAAGTCCCCAAACCAACTTCTGATGAAAATTCAGCACAGTGGACACAGGAATTTTAATTTGTCTCATATTTTGACATCAGTACCTTTTGCATTTCATTAGGGAGTGTTAAGCCCACTGAATTTTCTGTTCAGGCTGCAGATCACAAAAAGGTTCTGCCACCCCATGCAGTCCCACCTGAACAGCCCTGCCATGGGACTCCCCACTTCATCACTCTACCTGCAGGGCAAGGGAGGGATAGGCGGCCAGCCAGATGGGGAGATCTTATACTCACCAGCACAGAATAAAGAGATGAAAAAAAGCAGTACAGGCGCTTGGCGGGAATGTCTGACTTCTTGTTAGCATTACAGAGCCACTGCACAGCAGAAATGCTGAAACAGGAAGGGACCTAGTCAGGCAAGTGACCAGCACACCCCTGCCTCATCAGGACTCATACACCACACATCCTGGAGGTCCAGGTAAAACCCCCCTGCCACTCCCTTTCTTGGCATGTGCAGGTCCACTCCAGGTGACTATTCTACAACACTGGACCAAACAGGGTATCCCGAAGGTCGGCATTAACTTCCTTGCAGTCAGTCCAGAGAAACAGTTTCTCAACCTTTTTCTACATGTATCTCACTTCAAAATTACTCATCATATCAAGGCTCTCCTCTCTTCTTCTAAACAATCTTCCTAAAACAAAGAACTACTGAATAAAGCTCCAACTTCTTAGGATGGAGTTTTTTTAAAAAAACAGGCCCTAGCCAATGTGACTCAGTGATTAGAGTGCCAGCCCATGCACCAATCAATGTCTCTTCTCTCACATGGATGTTTCTCTCTCTCCCTCCCCCCACCCCCGCTCCCTCCCACTTTCTCTAAAAATCAATGGGAAAATGTATCAAGTGAGGATTAACAATAACAAAAATATTTTCTAGGACCCAAGCCTACACAATCTCAACTTCTATGAAATCCCTCATTCATGCCCATGATCTCTGACTCCTTTCCCCACCCACTTCCATGCCTCTGCAGACACTATTCCTTCACTCAGAACCCTCCTTGATTTTCCAAATTCCTCCCGCCCTTCAAGACCCAACCCCAACCCCTCCTTCTCAAAGCTTGCCTGTGCTCTTTACAAAGCTTTTTTAAAAAAATTGATTCTAGAAAGAGGAAAAGGGAGAGGAACAATTTCAATAGATTGCCTCCTGAACGCATCACAACTGAGGATCGAACCTGCCACTTTTTTGAGTTTTTTTTGTTTTTTTAAAAATATATTTTACTGATTTTTTACAGAGAGGAAGGGAGAGGGATAGAGTCAGAAACATCGATCAGCTGCCTCCTGCACACCTCCTACTGGGGATGTGCCCGCAACCAAGGTACATGCCCTTGACCGGAATCGAACCTGGGACCCTTCAGTTCGCAGGCCGACACTCTATCCACTGAGCCAAACTGGTTAGGGCAAACCTGCCACTTTTTGGTGTTCAGGACATTCCAATCAACTGAGCCACCAGCCAGGGCTTTCCTGTGCTTTTCTCTTCACAATTCAGGTGGTCCCATGACTCCCCAGTGCACAGCCCACACTCAGCCTTGTGTTTAACCAGTCCATATCTTTTAGCAGCTAATTAACCATGACAGAGACTATTTTATTTCCAAACTCCACAGCAGACTATACAACAAGGATGTCAAACTCGCGGCCCATGAATATTTTTGCAGCCCAGCCAATATAATGGTAAGATGCATTTTAATAAAAATTTCATAACTTAATTTTTACAATATCCTGTTATACATAATCCTATATAATAGAAGGCTAATATGCAAATTGACTGAACAGCAGAACAGCTGGTCACTATGACACACACTGACCACCAAGGGGTAGACACTCAACGCAGGAACTGCCCCCTGGTGGTCAGTGCCCTCCCACAGGGGGAGCACCTCTCAGCCAGAAGCCTGGCTCACAACTGGCGAGTGCAGCAATGGTGGCAGGAGCCTCTCCCACTTCCACAGCAGTGCTAAGGATGTCCAACTGATGGCTTAGGCCCACTCCCTGAGGGCTTCCGGACTTGAGAGGGCGGGCGCAGGCCAGGCTGAAGGACTCCCCGCTGCCCCAGAGTGCATGAATTGCGTGCACTTGGCCTCTAGTTATTAATAACGAACTACAACGTTCGCTAATGACTACTATAATCGTGTTGATTCATTTCCCTTACGTGCCTTACTCACAGGCACACCATTTCTCTCCACTAATATTAGCAGCGAATATTTTAGCAGCCGATTGCCACGTCATTAGTCTTGTACTGACTTGTTCGGTGTGCGCAACAGGAAATATTCGCTTTCGGAGAACAAGAAAAATAGGTTTATTTGCACCACGTTTATCAATTTGTGCAGTTATTCAGTGTCTGGTAAGTTAATGTTCAAGAAAAAATATTAATTTTTATTAAAATGTTCTATTCGTTTGTGTTAATGATTACTCATTTATTTCAGCCCTTTATATTCAGCATGTCTCTATGGAAATAAACCTACATCTCTATGAAAATTGAAGCTTTTTTTTTTATTGCGCCCCACATAAACTTAAATCTTGTTTATTTGGCCCGTGTTAGCCTTTGAGTTTGACATGCTTGCCCGCCAGGCCCCCCAAGATGGCCACCAGGCCTCCACGATGGCTCCTATTGGCCCAGAAAACCACCCCTCTCCTACCACACACACTCAAAGCAGACAGAGAAACTATATCAGAGGTGCCTGAACCTCTGGCAGTGCAAGAGAATCACAGTAGATAGTTTTGAAATACAAAAAATACCTATTTTGAGGCCTTGCTCTGACCTTATTAACCTAAAAATCCCATAGGATGTATAATTTTCAGTTTCCCATGTGACTCTGCTGCACAGCCAGGTGTGGGAAGCAGTGGTCTGCAGAACGAAGAGCAAAGCATGAAGACTCTTACCTGATACAACCATCAAAGGAGCCCGGTTTGAAGGGAATGCCCTGGCCCATGTCCCCCAGAAGTAGGTCTCCTTGTGCTTCTCGGTCCAAAGCTGCATCTGCATCGCAGAAGAGCAAGTGAGGGAAACAGACAATATGCAGATCTGCTCCACACCATGAGGGTAGCCACCCCAGTGCTAAATAGAACATACTTACCCAGCATGGCAAGGCTGATGTCGATGCCCACCCAATAGTGCCCCTCATCAGAGAGATAATCTCCACTCAGCCCAGTACCGCAACTGGAAGATACGATCAAACAGGGACGCAACAGTACGAGTAGCAAAGATGCCCCACAACCTGGGGAAACTGACTAGGCCCCAGGATCTCACCCAATATCCAACAGGAAACAGGGCTTCCCATCAGGCAGATCAAGGAGCTCCAATGCTCGCCCAGTCATCTTGGTCTGCACATCAATCATCCTAGAGCTAGGAAGGCAGAAACACAAACAAGTGTTTCTTGTTTGGTTCTGAGCTAAAACTGTACCCAGACCAAAAAAACACACACAAAATCTTCTAGAAAAAAAGAACAAGGTGCTCTTTCCTGGTCAACAAACTCAACTACAACTATTTAATATATATTTTTTTATTGATTTCAGAGAAGAAGGGAGAGGGGGAGGGAGAGAGAAACATCAATGATGAGAGAGAATCATTGATCGGCTGCCTCCTACACACCACACCCCCTACTGGGGATCGAGCCTGAAACCCAGGCAAGTGCACTGACCGGGAATCGAACCTGGGACCCTGCAGTCTGCAGGCCAATGCTCTATCCATTGAGCCAAACTGGACAGGGCTCAACTACAACTATTTAAAAGTAACCCCAATAACAGCAACATGTTATTTTGCTGTGGCACAAATTATAACTGCACCTGATGCAAAGCTAAAGGGAACAAATCACTTAACTAATGACCAACCATTGGGTATTTTCAAATCTATCAAGCTTTGATGTAGTTTTACTTAAGAACAAGTTTTCTGGCTCAGCTGGCATGACTCAGTGGTGGAGCATCAACCTATGAATCAGGAGGTCATGGGTTCAATTCCCATCAGGGCACATGCCTGGGTTGCAGGCTTGATCCCCAGTGGTGGGCATGCAGGAGGCGGCCGATCAATGATTCTCTCTCATCATTGATGTTTCTCTCTCTCTCTCCCTTCCTCTCTGAAATCAATGAAAAAATATTTTTAAAAAAAGAGAGAGAACAAGTTTTCTGGAAGAATTATCCACCATAGTGACTCTCAGATATAAGGATCAAGAATCACAACAGAAATCTACAGCAGTGCTGTCCAGGAGAATCATAATGCAAGCCACATGACTTTCCAGTGGCCACAGTTAAAATGAAATTAAATATGTAAAATTAACTAATAATTAACCAAATCCAATGTACCTAATAACTTTTTAACACGTTAAGCGCCCAGCCTGTTTTGTCTTCCGGACAGAAGGTATAGTGTCAGTCACCAGTGACTGACAGGGCACTTAACGTGTTAACCCAATATGCTCAAATTATTTCAACACGTAATCAACATAAAAATGATCAATAAGATATTTTACATTTTCTTCCTGCTAAGTAATTCAGACGCTGATGGCTACTGGTTACTGTAGCACAGAATAGGTCTATAATATATCTGGCTTTCCCAAGATCAGGTATCTGTAGACTCTTCTACAGGCTGGTTTATCAGAAAGGACAGGTCTGGAAGTCTGTTCTAGCCTTCACCTAGTTACAGAAATAACTACCCTCCATGAAATTCAGATACTACACCAACAGTTGTCAAGAGGATTTAGCGAGATTATACAAATAGGGGCACCCAGTAAACATTTATGAACATTTCCTTTCCCCCAATAGCATTAACCACTTACACATATCCACTGTCTCCTGCCTATTTTACCACATGTTTAAAACAAGTTGCCACAATAAACTGAAGACCCAGATAAAAATGTGATCACTGCCGTATTAATGCTGCGGTAACGGAGGCCCAGAGGGTTGAGAGATTTAACTAAAGCTGACTTTGCCAGTGTAAAAAATGGAATCAACCCAGGTCCCTTCCTCCCACCCCAACCGCCCCAAATTCTTCACGTTCTCCAAGCAATGCCCCAAATGAGGGCAACTTCCACCCCCGACGCCGCGCAATAGCCAGGCTCCCTTACTTGCGCATGTATTTCCGGGCTTCATTCTGGTCGTAAAACTGTGGGAAAAGAGAAAGAGAAAAGGGTAATGGGGGGGGGAATCGAAACGCTGAGCTTCTTTAAGACAGAAGGGCGCCCGAGGGCCGCAGGGCTCACCAGCTCGGGGGGTCCGCCGTGCTCCGGCCGGCGCCCGCGACACGCCATCCCCACGCTTCCACCGCGCGACAGCTGCTGGGGGCTCCCGAGTCCGGCGTGTACAGCATCAGCGCCGCGCCTGCCCCGTAATACGCATGCGCCACTCCTCTCCCCGCCTTCTCTTCTACGCGATTGGCTACCAGGATGACGCTCGGCGAACAACGCGGGCCTCCCATTGGCCAGGTGACCTTGGCACCGCCCTCCAGACCCATGCAAGATGGCAGCGCGACACGATCCGAGGTGGCCGCGTTTGTTACTGTGGAGCTTGTGGCGGGGTCGGGGGCCCCCGCCAAGTCGGGTGTCCTGCCACGGCTTAGAAGCGAGGACTTACTCCCGGGGCGACGGCCCGTACTCGCGCACGGCGCTGTATGAGCTGCTCGGCGTCCCGCCCACGGCGACGCAGGCGCAAATCAAGGCCGCCTACTACCGGCAAAGCTTCCTCTACCACCCGGACCGCAACGCGGGGAGCGCCGAGGCCGCCGAGCGCTTCACGCGTATCTCCCAGGCCTACGTGGTGCTGGGCAGCGCCCCCTGCCCCG